ATCCATCCGGCTAACACAGGTGAAACCCCGTCTCTACTAAAAAAAATACAAAAAAAAATTAGCCGGCGAGGGGGGGGGGGGGGGGGTTGGCGGGCGCCTGTCATCCCAGCGTACTCGGGATGCTTGAGGCAGGGAGAATGGCAGTGAACCCCCGGGATGGCGCCGGAGCTTGCAGATGAGCTGGATCCGGCCGACTGCACGTCCCAGCCTCGGGGCCGAGGCACGGCGCCAGGTCACTCCATCTCAAAAAAAAAATACAAATTAAAATAAAATAAAATAAAATACAAATAAAAAAATAAAAAAAAATTTTTTTTTTTTTTTGTAGAGACAGGGTCCTACTGTGTTGCCCAGGTTGGTTTCGAATTCCTAGGCTCAAGTGATCCACCAGCCTCAGCCTCCCAAATTGCTGGGATTACAGGTATGAGTCATGGTGCCCGGCCCTTAATCTTAATTTTTAAATATTACTGTCATCTTCGTTTGTTGTTGCCAGTATGGGGCCATATGTATACATACTATTCGACAGCTAGATTTTTTTCACTTAGCAGTATGTTTAGACACACTTCCCTGTTAGTACATGCAGGTATGGCTCATTCTTTCCAGCTGGTACATTATATTCTACACTGTTATTCTCCTGCCCTCACAGATCCTTTATTCACCTTCGTTTCTTCTGTGTACTGGCAGCTGGTCTCTGTTAACCTGCATCAACTGGGCTTCCTCGCCTCTGGCTTCCAGCTGGGATCAGCTGATAAAAGGCACTGCCAGGAGACCTGAGGGCCAATGTTGGGAGGAGTCAGACTATGTTTTATCCCCATTGTCCCTTGCCATGGTTCTAGTAGCAGCTGTGCTCGTTGTCTGTGATCACTGCTCTTTAGGGTGGCTTCTCCTCTCCAGCCAGCTCTTGCTGGGCTCCAGTGACACCCTTCTCTTCTTTTGCCCTTTTGGATTGAAGGGTAGAAATAGCTTCCTGCTGTTGCTAGTCCCTGGATGCTTCACCATCCCTTGTTGATTCCTTTAAATGCTGCTCACACAGCTATAAAAAATCCTGCCATTAAATTTCCTTCAGTTTATTCCTTTGCATATGCCATCTCTTTCCTGCTAAGACCTCAATTGATGTGACCAGGGAGACTTACCATAATTTAATTATTGGGTCCCTATTACTGGGCATTTAAACTGTTTCTTGTATCTTGCTGTTATACTCAGAGTTGCTAATGAACATTCATGTACATGTCCTTTTTAGTATTTGTTGGAGTATTGTTTGAGAAAAAAGTCATAGGAATAGAAAGACTAGGTTAAGGTATATGAATATTATAAATTTCAATAGATACTTCTAAATTGTTCCCAAAGGAGTCTACCAATTTACATTTCTACAATGTGTTTTTTTAATAGTAAAAAATTAATGGAGGCAGTACTTGTGACTTTATAAAAAATACTTTTTTTTTTTTTTTTTTTTTTTAAGAGACAGTATCTCTCTTTGTTGCCCAGGCTGACGTGCAGTAGCATGATCGTAGCTCAGTGCAGCCTCGAACTCCTGGGCTCAAGCAATCTTCCCGCCTTAGCCTCCCAAGTAGCTGGGACTACAGGTCCATGCCACCATGTCCAGCTAATCTTAAAATTTTTTGTAGAGATCGGGGCGGGGGGGGGTCTCAGCTCATCATCTTGCCTAGTCTGGTCTCGAACTCCTAGGCTCACTCAGTCCTCCTGCTTCGGCCTCTTAGAGTGTTGGGATTATAGGTTTCAGCTGCCATGCTAGGCCTTATGACAAATAAATTTAATTCAGAAGTGTACAAAGGGAAAAGTAAAAGTCGTCCTCCAAGTCTCACCTGCTTCTCATCATCCCATCTTATTCCCTACAGGTAAGCATGCTAACACCTGTATAGCCTGTCAGGCCTGTCTTCCATTTTTTTTTTTTTTTTTGGAGACAGAGTCTCGCTCTGTTACCCAGGCTGGAGTGCAGTGGTGTGATCTCTGCTCACTGCAAGCTCTTACTCCTGGGTTCAAGCCATTCTCCTGCCTCAGCCTTCCGAGTAGCTGGGATTACAGGCGCCTGCCACCACGCCCAGCTAATTTTTTGTATTTTTGGTAGCGATGGGGTTTCACCATGTTAGCCAGGATGGTCAGGATGGTCTCGATCGCCTGACCTCGTGATCTGCCCGCCTCGGCCTCCCAAAGTGCTGGGATTACAGGCGTGAGCCACCACGCCCAGCCCCTTTCTTCCATTTTTATATGTACATGCTTAGCATAAATTGAGTACATTTATATGTATAAAATAAACTCATTCGTATATGTGTGTTTATGTATCTCTTTCTGTTTGAGATAATGTATTTCTAGACTCTGTTCTCTTCCATTGACCTAACTTGTTTTTTCCTCTGCCAGTACCTATCTACCTTAGTAATTATAGCCTTGAGTTGGTTCGATATCTGGCGAGGCAGATTCTCATCCCATTATTTTTCATTTTAAGAAATTTCTTGGCCCTTCTTGGGCATGAACTGTTCAGATTATCTTTAGATCCAAGTTCAGAAAATTCATGGATTTTGACTGGAATGAAACTGAATTTATAGAAAATTCACATTTCAGGAAAACTGATATATTTCCAATGGAATCTTCTCACTAAAGAAACTCTCCGGGCGTGGTGGCTCATGCCTGTAATCCCAGCACTTTGGGAGGCCGAGGTGGGTGGATCACGAGGTCAGGAGTTTGACACCATCCTGGCCAACATGGTAAAACCCCATCTCTACTAAAAATACAAAAAAATCAGCTGGGTGTGGTGGCGCGTGTCTGTAATCTCAGCTACTCAGGAGGCTGAGGCGGAGAATCGCTTGAACCTGGGGAAGCGGAGTTTGCAGTGAGCCGAGATGGCGCCATTGCACTCCAGCCTGGGCAACAGAGGGAAACCCTGTTGCAGGGCGGGGAAAAAAAGAACCTCTTTTATCTCTTTATTTACTCAGATATTTTATGTTCTTTGGTGAAAGTCTTGCCTATTTCTTACTAAGTTTATTTTTAGTTATTTTATAGATTTTGTTGCCATCATGAATGGAATTTTTTCACTTTACGTTTTCTTTTCTTCTCTTTCTTTTTTTTTTTTTTTGAGACAGGGTCTTGCTCTGTCACCCAGGCTGGGGTGCAGTGGCACGCTCACAACTCACTGCAGCCTCAGCCTCCTGAACTTAAGGAATCCTTCTGCCTCAGTCTCCTGAGTAGCTAGGACCACAGGTGCACACTACTAGGCCTGGCTAATTTTTTAATTTTTCTTTTTGTAGAGATAGGGTCTCATCATGTTGCCTAGGCTGGCCTCAAACTCCAGGGCTCAAGCAGTTCTCCTGCCTCAGCCTACCAAAGTTGTGGGATTATAGGCATGAGCCACTGCACCCAGCCCACCTTACATTTTCTAATTGGTTATTGCTGGTATAGTTTTTAAGAATGTGTTGATTTTTGTAAATTAATCTTATCATAATCACCTACTTTATTGAACTTCCCATTCTAATGATTTTTTAGTATATTCTCTTGGCTTTCCTAGGTGGACAATTATCTGTAAATTATAAAGTTTTGTGACACCATTATTAATATTTATACGTCTTTTTTTTCTCTTATGTCAATTCGTCGCTGAGATATCTGATTGGGCTTGGTTGGGGGCCTAACCCAGGGCAGTCTCCTTGGCCAATGTTACATTTTACATTTAAGATGTACCTGCTATACATCCTTTTACATCAAAGGGTGTATAGCGGGGTACAGTAGCAGGGTGGGTGAATTCCAGACAGACCTTGAGGATAGAAACAACAAGGCAATGTTCAATGAATAGAAAGTACAATGACTAGAGCATAGGGCACAAATGAGGTTGAGAGAAGCAAGAGATGGATTGGAGAGTAGGTTGAGGCTCCATCAGAAGCCACTAGGCTTTAAGGAGCAATTACTTTATTCAGAGGAGTTGAGAATTGAATGAAAGCTGTAAGCTGTGTTAGGCAGAATGACCCTTTAAAGATATCCGCACCCTAATCCCTGGAACCTATGAATTTGTTACTTGACGTGGCACAAGGGACTTCACAGATATAATTAAGGTTATGAGCCTTCAAATAGTGAGATTATCCTAGATTATTAAGGTGGGCCCACTATAATCACATGGGCCCCAAAAAGCAAAGAAGTTTCTGCAGCTGGAAGGGAAGCAAGATATGGTGGAGGGGGAATTTGGAGAGATTCAAAGAGTGAGAGACCCTGAAGGGGACCACATGGAAAGCATGAAAAGGACTGTAGGCATGAAGGCTGACCCCTGGCGGATAACCAGCCAGGAAATGGGGGCTTGGCCCTACAGCTGCACGAACTGAATTCAGCCAACAGCCTGAGTGAACATAGAAGTGGATTCTTCTCCAGGGCCTCCAGAAAGGAACACAGCCCTACCAACACCTTGGTTTTGGCCTCGTGAGACTCTAAGCAAGGACCCAGCTGGGCCTCACCATCCCCAGATTTTGGCCTTCAGAACTCTGAGATGATTTTGTGTTGTTCTAAACTGCTAAGTTTATGACACTTTGCCACAGCAGCAGTAGAGAACAAATGCAAAGGGGTTTAAGCAGGGATATTGTCAGATTTTGTGTTATTCAAAGACTTCTTGTGCCATGTGGAAATGGATTTGGAGAATGTAAATTTGGAGGCAGGGAAACGTGTCTGTGGGAATGCTGTGATAGCACAGTCTAGAGTAGTGATTAGGGGAAGGGGATATGATTTTAAATATATCTGGGAGGCAAGAGTTGCCAGAACTAGTCAGGGACCGGATGTCAGTGGTTGGGGTGGGGAAGCAAGGATGACTGCTGCTTTCTAGCTTAGGTGCTGGCTGATGATGAAGCTGTTTCTTGAGATGGGGACGAGCAGGTTGGAAGATGCCATGATATGAAAGTGATAACTCTTAAGTTGTTCTTCATTTGGAAATTCTCTCTATAGATACTTTATTTTAAGAGAGTATGTCAATAAGATGAGTGCTTTGTCTTTTAAGAACGAAACTTTTTCTTTTCTAGGTCATTTAAGAAATCGTAAATCATGTGAAGATGGGACTCTTGGTATTTGTGCGCAATCTGCTGCTAGCCCTCTGCCTCTTTCTGGTACTGGGATTTTTGTATTATTCTGCGTGGAAGCTACACTTACTCCAGTGGGAGGAGGACTCCAGTAAGTATAGTCACTCTAGCTCATCCCAGGAGAAGCCTGTTTCAGGTCAGTTACTGGTTTTTCGTGTGGCTGCAGTGCTCTCTTATTCTTCAGAGGTGGGCAATGAGAGTAAACTGAACATTTCTGGGACTTTGACTTAGACATTGCTGCCATTTTAGCTGGTATAGGCTGAGAACTTTGATGTTTTTTAAAAACTGCATGCCATGACACATCTCGTTCCTTTTACAAACTTGGTGAGAATGTGCTATTCTTCAATAAAAACCCAAACTATACTCATACTTCCAGTTCTTGAATGCTTTTGTTCTTTCTAATTGCTGTAGCATATTGCCACTCTTATTTTTCCATTTATTGCCTTAGGGATTAGTATTGGAGTTGGTTTCCATATGCCCTTAAAACATTCATCTTTATGTTGAATTTTCAACATAATGTTGTCTCTGTTTTGTTTTCCCTAAAGAAACTTTGTCTACTAAATCTTTGTAGCCCTTACTGCTATTGAACTTGCACCTGGCTACAATAATGGCTTATTTTCCCTACCCAGTAACTCTTAATTTTTTTCTTCTCTTTGTGCACTTTGTCTCATGTGTTACATAGTGCTCTCCACATAGCCTGAATCCCACTGATTTGGTTTCTGTTTACCTGACGTGGCCTGTGTTTTGGTTCTAGGCTTGCAGTTGAAGGGCTTACGTTGATCGGCACCAGCCTTTGAACATTGTTTTCTTGGCTGTAGCTTGAAATATCACACAGTGACCATAGTGGTTTTCTTTTTGGTTATTTTGTCTGACTGTTACCTGAGCCTCGTGTGGGAGATAATATAAAATCAGAACAGAGTGGCCTGTTTTGATCTACAGTGATATGTCTTCTCTTAAAATTAGTTTTATTTTTACTGACATCTACCAGATACCAGTAAAGAACTCACTTGAGAAGAGAGTCAGTCTCTAGGTATGAGGTGAAAGTGAGCTGCAGTGAGTTGGAAGAAGCAACAGGCAATTGGCCTGCTGTTGTTCTAAGACCCTAACATGGGAACTGTTACAGTGAAGTAGCTCATTTATTTCTCCTATGGCTCAAACTACTGAGGCAGTTTCAAGCCAGTTTTTAAAATATAGTGTTATATCCTTCATTTATTGTTTTATATAGGATGTTTAAGTACATTTTAAATGCTTATAATTATCACTAATTACTTGTGTTTCAAAAGTTTACTTAAATTTCTCTGCACTGACTTATTTTTAAAACCAAGGAGACTACCCAGGATAAGGAGTGTTTATATCAGTGAAATGCAGAATTCTGTATTTAGAGGCATTCATTGTCTGTATTAGTAGTGGTGGATCCATCTGTATCAATATTGTAGATGGAAATGTGTGTGAAGAACAACGGTCTCCTTTTCTGCTAAGAGCTACTGACCTGTAGAAGACATAACCAAGGATCAGATAAGATTTTCTTAGATCAGTAGGGAACGGAATTTACTTTATGGAAGACTCATTGTGTGTCAGGCATTAGGCTAGACAATTTACAAATATAATTTCATGTAATGTAATTCTTACTACAGTTTTGTGAAGATGCCATTATTACCCCATTTTCCAGTTGAACATACTGAAACACTTTAATTTACCAAGGTTATATTGTTGGAACTGGAATTCAATTCTGATTTCCTGTCTTTAAAACCTATGTTTATTATTTTATTGAAAAATATAATAAATACTGAAGGCAAGACTTAATATTCTACTTGGTAAAAAGAGAGAGGGAAAGGGGCTCAGAGAAGTAATAGTAGAGAGTATCAGGAAGGGAGTGTGAAAAGAAAAGGAGGGAAAGATAGAAAGTTATCAAAAGAAGACAGAGAGGCTTATTAGGTTTGAAGGTGACAAGGTGCTACTCACTTGGGCTGTAGGATTCAGAAGTTTATTGCTAGTTATCTGCTGTCCTTTCCATTAGTTGTTAGCTGACTAACCAGTATTTATAGCTTTTCTGTTCTGACTCCTAAGCCTTTTAGATGTTTGACTTTGAATAGGTTGTTTAGACCATAGCATACTGTTTTCTGTGCTGTAATATCAGAGAACAGAGTAATAGGACCCACCTTGCATGGCTTACTAAGTCAGACAGGTCCTCCATTTTTTTTTTTTTTTGGAGCTGAGGTCTCACTCTGTTGCCCAGGCCACAGTGCAGTGATGCAGTCATAGTTCACTGTAATCTCGACCTGCCAGGCTTAAGTGATCCTCCTACCTCAACCGCCCGAAGTAGCTGGGACCACAGACTCACACCACCATTCCTGGCTAATTTTTGTATCTTTTGTAGAGATGGTGTTTAGTCATGTTGCCCAGGCTGGTCTCAAACTCCTGGGCTCAAGTGGTCTGCCCGCCTTGGCTTCCCAAAGTGGTTGGATTCCAGGCATGAGCCACTGTGCCCGGCCAGAGAGGAGTCCTTTACTTAGAGTCAAGCTGAAGGAGCGTCACAATCCCGAAGACTGTTATGTTGTGAAATTTAGGCTGTGTTTTAATAATATGATGATAAGATGAAATAGTAATTTATTGAGTATCTACTGTATATCCATAACATAGCAGGGTCTTTATATTCAGAATCTCATTTGATCCTTGTAGTTTTTATTGGTTATTATTTTCCTCATTTTACAGATATAAGAACTGCGGCTTCAGAGAGGCTGTGTAATCAAGAGTTTGTATGCCTTTCATCTGAAGAGGTTGAGGACAATCCCAAGTTAGAAAAATAAATGTCTTTAGCATTACTTTTCCTTAATCTTTAGAATATTAATGAGTTACTCAGATAACCTATTGGAATTTCTTCATGGTGGGGGGAAGAGGCTAGAGTTGGTTTTTGGTTTTGGTTTTTGATACAGGGTCTCACTCTGTCACCTAGGCTAGAGTTTTGTGGTGTGATCTCGGCTCACTGCAGCTTCAACCTCTTGGGCTTATGCCACCCTTCCACCTTAGCCTCCCAAGTAGCTGGGACTACAGGTGTGCACCACCATGCCCAACTAATTTTTCAAAATTTTTTTGTAGAGATGGGGTTTCTCCATGTTGCCCAGGCTGGTCTCAAACTCCTGAGCTCAAGTGGTCTTCTTACCTCAGCCTCCCAAAGTGCTGGGATTACAGGCAGGAGCCACTGCGCTTGGCCTGAGGCTAGAGTTTTTTATTATTAGATTATTCATTCAATAAGCAGTATGTTCTTATTATGGTCCATGTACTGTTCTGGGTAAACTGGATATAAGATGAACATAGGCCTTCATACTCTTAGCCTATAATATGAGAACAAAACAAAACAATTATTATTATATATTGAGCTCTAAAAGAGCAATCTGTGTGAAATGCTGTGTTGGAGCATAGAATTCCTTCCAGATAGAAAATTTATGTTTTCATTAATTCCAAGGTGTGTTGTAGAGGACTACAAACTGCTTTGCCTTGGGTAGTTTAGAGACACATGTGACCTAGGGCTTGGTCAGGTTGCCAAGACTTGGGTCAAATGCTTAATGTGAAAAGCTTCAAGTATGAGAATAGTTATCAATCTGTTTTAAAAATTACTGTAGAATTATTATACATGTAGTATGATAAAATATGTATGTATACATATATTTTTAATATATATTTTAATTAATGAACAAATCACCAGTATCTGGAGTTAGAAAGAGTTGGGTGTGCTTGTTTCTTCGTCTCCAAAATGAAGATAAAAGACTTATTTCTCAGCCGGACACAGTGGCACACACCTGTAATCCCAGCACTTTGGGAGGCCGAGGTGGGCAGATCACGAGGTTGGGAGATCGAGACCATCTTGGCTAACACAGTGAAACCCCGTCTCTACTAAAAATACAAAAAATTAGCCAGGCGTGGTGGCGCGCACCTGTAGTCCCAGCTACTTGGGAGCCTGAGGCAGGGGAACCGCTTGAACTCGGGAGGCAGAGGTTGCAATGAGCTGAGATCGCACCACTGCACTCCAGCCTGGGCCACAGAGCAGGACTCAGTCTCAAAACAAAAAAAAAAAGACTTATTTTTCTTTGCTCTGATGTCTTGTGTAGGAGTCGGGTAGTTGCCTCTTTACAATAGCCCTCATTTCACAATGGTCCATTTCATGGAAGCCTTGCATATTTTTATTAATTAAAATTTTACGTATTTCTGCTGGGTGTGGTGGTTCACATCTGGAATTCCAGCACTTTGAGAGACTGAGGAGGGAGGATTGCTTGAGGCCGGGGGATTGCTTGAGGCCAGGAGTTTGAGAACAGCCTGGGTAACATCGCGAGGCCTTGTCTCTATAAAGAAAATTAAAAGATATTATCCAAGCATGGTGGTGCACACATACACAGTGTGTGGGATAGCTACTTGGGAGGCTGAGGTAGGAGGATCACTTAGGCCCAGGATTTTGAGGTTGCAGTGAGCTATGATTGTGCCACTGTACTCCAGCCTGGGCAACAGCATGAGACCCTGTCTCAAGAAAGAAAGAGAGAGAGAGAGAGAGGAAGGAAGAGGGAGGGAGGGAGAGAGAGAGAGAAAGACAAAGGGAGGGAGGGAGGAAAGAAGGAAGGAAGGAAAGAAAGAGGAAGGAAATTAATTTCTGATTAATAAAGTAGATCTTTCATAGGATTAGTTTCCTGGGCTGAGTGAGGTGGCTCATGCCTATAATCTCAGCACTTTTGGAGGCTGAAGTGGAAGGATTGATTGAGCCCAGGAGTTCAAGACCAGCCTAGGCAACATAGGGAGACCCTGTCTCCACAGAAAAATAAAAAAATTAGCTTAGTGTGGTGGTACATGTCTGTAGTCCCAGTGACTCGAGAGGCTGAGGTGGGAGGATTGTTTGAGCCCAGGAGGTCAAGGCTGCAGTGAGCTGTGGTCATGCCACTGTACTCCAGCCTGTGTGACAGAGTGAGACCCTGTCTCAGAAATTTTTAAAAAATTACATTTATGCTACTGTGTTTATCAATTATTTCAACTCTCTTTGTGTTCTTCCCCATATTTATAAAAGATTATAACCAGACAAATTATAATATATGCATTCAAATGATAAAG